CTACAACAGTAGATACAAACAATCCGGAGGCGGAGATCTTGCCTGGACTACAGCTTCTCGGAACCATCACTGAAAAGTAATCTTTTTTTTTTGCTTGTAATTTCTTGATTTTTATTCAACATGACTGGGCTGAACTCTGCTGTAGTACGCTACATATCCTGGAGGGGTGGGCGTGTCTGCGCACGTCATTAGGACATGTTGTGGAGTGTTAGTTTCACGGATATTTCCATTTGAGGAAACTAGCATCCTGTCATAGGTAATATTCGCCGAAGGCGCAGCTGACACCTTGTTCCAATGAATAAGGTAGCCATCCCTCTCCACATCTATGGGATATGGAGTGAATATATATGAGAACGATCGAGTTGGAACTTTAAAAACCGCAGTAAGTGGCCGAATGGGCGGGAGGCGACGGCATTGGCGCGCCCCTTAACTTCCCAACTTGTATCCACGTCAAAAAAGGCGAGAAGAGGAAGGGCACGCTACTGTCGTCGTTTCCTGACTCGGCCTATCCAACTGTCTCGAACTCGTCAAAATTGCTCTTTTAATCCGAATTGAGACACACTCGTACAAGTTTCAATGACATTTTTTTGACCGGTTGCCATTTAAAGGTTCATCTCGGTATCCGACGTTTTCGAGCCGACGGACTTGGGACATGAATCACAGGTTTTCATTTCAAGATCGTATGACCCTACAACTCATTTCGAAACAACATGCAAGGTAAGGTTTTCATGGCATAGTATTTGTGTTAAGATAACAGACAATAGCTCACTCTTTTTCGACAATTATGGTTCATTTATTAGCGCTTCTACAAGTCGGTTTGGTTGGGGCACTAGATGGCCTCAGCTAGGCCCATTGAGTCACATTGCGAAGACCCGTAAATTCCTGTGACTAGCATGGCTCACTCGAATACAATCGCAGCTTCAAAGGAGTTTACAAGTCTGAACAATGAGGTCTGCCGGTTAAGGTGAACCAACAAAGGGAGCCAAAGAAAGTGCAAAATGCTCCCTCTAAACCGAAGCGCGCTCTACAGATGCCCTGCCACTGAAGTTTTTCAGTATACGCGTGTTCCTATTCACCATAGCACTCTTCCAACTTATATTTTCTGTATATATTTTGTTAGAAGTGTGTACTTTTTAGGATGTTTTGGACATTTTCCAACGAGGAACTACGCAAGAGTTCGATTTCTCAAAGATTACCCATCTCAGCCTTGAAGATAACGAGTAGAGTATAGGAGAGGTTTGTTATGGGGAATATCATATGAAGCTTGTCAAGTTGTCCAAAAATATTCAGCATTCATTCATTAGTCAGCTCTGCAGTGGACGACCTCGCCCTCATAGCAGGGTTTTCAATGTTTCTAAATTGTTGTGGCCCAAAAGTTCTCTCTGCATTGTGAATTGTCTCGGTTTCATTTAAGCTGTTGTCACGCCTCCCAGTTGTGTTTGTTTCCTTTTATTAATTCCTTTTCTTCCGGTATTATAATGTTAAAATAACTTATTTTGTATAGACGGCTGTGCTGTCGTTTCTCTATCGCTTCGCTGGTATCAGTAAAGTTGTGCATTAATGTTTTCTTTCTTTACAACAAAAATTAGAACACAGTGCCACTTTGTAACAGATACGTGAATTGTAAAATGGGCTAGGGAGAAAAGTCCAGGCGTGGTTCGGTCTGGGGGCATGGAATGGTACTCTGCCAAGCTTGTATAAGTGACCTTGTGAAGACCCGTAAATTCCTGTGACCATTGCTCACTCGCGCGATTTCGCAGGTTCACGGAAGTTTGCAGATCTCATTAAAATGGAGCCTGTTAATTGACTTAATATGGCAACTGGAAGTAAGAAAAAGGAACTAGCGATAGCGCAAAATGGCCCGCCCTCCCCTCCCCTCCCAAGCCGGAAAGCGTCCAGGTTTTTTTT